CGTTTCGTGGCCCCATAGGGAGCTCCACCGAAGGCCCCATGGCTGCCGTCCGCATGCGTCCCGCACACCCATTTCGGCACACCCCTCACACGTTTCGTGGCCCCATAGGGAGCTCCACCGAAGGCCCCATGGCTGCCGTCCGCATGCGTCCCGCACACCCATTTCGGCACACCCCTCACACGTTTCGTGGCCCCACAGGGAGCTCCACCGAAGGCCCCAGTGCTGCCGTCCGCATGCGTCCCGCACACCAGGTGTGTGGCGTGCCGACATGGGCGTCGCGGCGCGCGGGCGCTGCCGTCGGGGTTCCCATGGAAGCCCCCTGCAGAGGCGACGCTCAGAGTCACGAGTACCGAGAGTCACGCAGACCCAAACTGTTCACAGTCGTATACATACATTTACACTGGGCGTATCCATGCACGCATTCATGCGAATAGAATCAATCGCGCGCAGATTCATTCATAATCAGACTCGCTCGCGATCCGACTCGCACGCGCTCAAGCTTTCATATTCGGACCTATCGTCTTCGTTCGTGTTGTGTACACTGCCACGCATTTCGGCACACCCCTCATACGGCTCGTGGCCCCATAGGGAGCGCCACCGAAGAAGATATTCACAATTGCGGTACTCTCAACTGCATATGGTTGGGTCCTTCGCCAGGCTAATTTTTTGCAGACACGCCGAGGGCCCCGCGGCAGAGGAGGAGGGGAGGGGGGGAGGGAGGGAGGGAGGACGAGGGAGGGGGAAAAACCTGCAACTAATTCTCACCCTGGTGGCCTGGGCCGCTCGGGCCTGGCCGCACACGTGGGGGGCGGAAGACTGCTGCGCGCGAGTCGTCCTCCCTTGCCTTCGTCGCAGGAGGCCGGTCGAGACCACGGCGGCTCTCTCACAAGCGTCTCTGGTCTTCGTGGGCATCCGCGACAGGGCCCGATCCGCGTCTAAAAACGGGCCACGACGCATCCCGGGAGGGGGCGTGGGGCAAGCTTAAGCGGATTTGGGCTGGGCGAGATAGCGGCCGGTGTCTAAACTGGGTCTCCTCCGACTCTGCGTCCCGCTCAGCACGGAGGAACCGCGGTCCTTCTGCCGTGGGTGCCCGTTGGCCACGAGCCAGGCAGAATAAGCCGTGGCCGGGCGCACAGAACATACAGACGTGACGACGCTCTCCCTGATCGCATCCCAACCAAGGCCTGGAGGCAAAGCCGGCGATGACCGCAAGCACGGCCCTGGAGGCCCGAAGGCACACGGAGGACGCGGATACCCTGGCACTCCACCGCGTACAGTCAGGGCGTTGACCTAAGGAACCCTAAATAAGGAACGAGGCCCCTTTTTCCCATAAGTTAAACTTCGATTTCCCATGGAAACCCCACGCGAACTGTAAAACAATCTAGAAACACCGAGCCCCTCGCCAACGAAAAGGGTTCCGTCTTCAGGGCCCCGACTGTATAGCAGGGCCTGCTACGATAAAGAACGCCGAACAGGGAACGAAGGGTCTTTCTGGCCACGGGGAGCCTGGCCCACCAACAGCTTCACCGACGTGGATCCCAGGAGCGGGCTGAAGATCACAGCCCTGCCTGAGCCCAAATTGGCCCTCATTACAAACGATGAGTCATATTTGTCCAACAACATGTGAGCCAACGCGGCCTCCAAACAGCGTGTGGGGACCGATAACGCCGGGGGGGGTAGAGTCTATTCTCTTTCTAGAAAGGAGAATCTAGGTGGTGCAATCGATGCGGTGCAACAGATGTGGTGCAACCAGTGTTATGCCATCTATCTGGTGCCATCGTTCTTGTGCAATCTGTGTGGTGCAAGATATGGTGTGCAAGCTATGTGGGGCGGCGATGTGGAGGCGACGGCGGCAACAAGCAAAGCGACTGACAGACAGGCCGGAACGACGGGCGGCGACGAGGCGGCAACGGGGCGGCAACGGCAACAACAAGCGCAGCGACCGACAGACAGGCACAGACGACGGGCGGCGACCAGGCGGCGACGGGGCGGCGACGGCGGCACCAAGCGCGGCAACCGACAGACAGGCCGGCCCGGACGACGGGCGGCGAGGAGGCGGCGATGGGGCGGCGACGGCGGCAACATAGCCGCCACCCCGACAGACAGGCCCAGCTCCCTAGTAACAAGTAAGAGCCCATAAGTACTAGCGCACTGTTAGGGGAATCTTGGGGCGCATCCTTCGTCGGATGGGAGGCACGTGGGGGGGGGAGGGGGGGTCCTCGAGCAGGGGCAAGAGGGCATGGCCTGCGACCACAGCGCAACGGATCCAGGCGACGGGAGAGGGCGACCCCCCCCTGGGGCGATTCTGAGGGGGGGGAGGGACAACATGTGACCTGCAATGGAACTCCACAATGGCTGCGAGGGGGTGCAGTGTTCCACCACTGCTCGCACACCCTCTGGTACATTGTCATGGTCGTCGTCGTCGGTCACCGTTAATCGTCGTCGTCATCCTCCCTCCTCCCTCATTCCGCCCTACCTCCTCCCGACCATCCTGGCCATCCTGATGGTATTGCTATTCCTCCTCGCCTCCTTTCTCCATCATTGACCCATCTCATAATCCTGCTCATCACAATGCTGGTAATCCTGCCTGTCTCTCGTTTTCCCCTACTCTTCCTCCTCCTCCTCCTCCTCCTCCTCCTCCTCCTCCTCCTCCTCCTCCTCTTCCTCACTCCTCCGCCCTCCTCTTTCTCCTGCTCATCCTCTTGCTCCTCCTCCTCCTCTGCCTTCTAATCCTCCTCCTCCTCCTCCTCCTGCTCCCCCTCATCCCTCCACCTCCAATTCAGCATGCTCATGTTCATCCTCCTCTTCCTCATCTTCCTCCCCCACCTCCCGCTTTTCTTCAAAATCCTTCTCCTCTTGAGTTGTCATCTCATCACCACCAAGTCCAGCGCATTACGATTCCAGCCCCTTCTACACTTTGTCCCTCCTCCTCCTTCTGCTTATTCCTTCCCCTCCATCATCCCATCACACACGTATCCTAATCTGGCTCCTCCTCATCCAGTCCTTCACCTGTGCATTCAACAACGTGCGTTCCACCACCACACCTACCTCACCCTCCATGCACATCCCCAGATGAGAGGTCGGGAACAAAGAGAAACAAGAAACCCAGACGCAACGACTGGAACAGCCGAAAGGGGGAGAAACGATCCCCACCATCATCAGCATCATCAGCCGCATCATCACTATAATCCAGGCCATGGCAATGACCTTCGTCATCCCCATCGTCGTCAGTTCACAATCCGCAGCAACATTACCATCAATCGTAATCATCAGCATCATCATCATCAGCAGCAGCATCATCATCATCAGCATCATCATAATCACCATCACACTCACAATCACCATCACCATCAGTATCGTCATCATCATCGCCATCCTAAGTCTCATCATCATCATCATCATCATCATCATCATCATCATCATCAGCATCATCATCGTGAGCATCATCGTAAGCATCATCTGCATCATCATCAGCATCGATATCGTCATCATCATCAACATCACATCATCATCATCATCATCATCATCATCATCAGCATCATCATCATCATCATCATCATCATCATCATCATCATCATCATCATCTGTATCATCATCATCATCATCATCATCATCATCATCAGTAGCAGCATCGTAATCGTCAGTACCATCATCCTCAGCATCACCATCATCAGCATCAGCATCCTCATCCCCAGCATTATCATCCTCGGCTTCACCATCAGCGTCATCAGCAGCAGCATTATCAGCATCATCACCAGCATCAGCATCAGCATCGTCATCGGCATCGTCATCAGCATCATAAGCAGCGCCATCAGAATTAGCATCATCATCACCACCATCATCAGCACAAGCATCGTCATCCGCATCGGTATCGGCATCATCAGCAGCAGCAGCATCAGCATCATCACCGTCAGCAGCAGCATCATCCTTACCATCTTCATCATCATCGTAATCGTCATCATTACCGTCATAGTCAGCATCATCATCATCACCATCACCATCATCATGATATTCATCGTCGTCTTCATCTTCATCATCATCAGCAGCAGCGTCAGCATCAGCATCAGCATTAGCATCAGCAGCATCAGCATCCTCGTCAGCAGCAGCAAGAGCATCGGCAGCAGCAACATCGTCGCCATCACCACCATCAACACATATTCCTATGTGTCATCATCGGCATCGGTTTGCGCCCTCATCATAATAAACGTAATCAGCATGGTCAGCATCTTCGTCATGCTCGTCATTTTGAAAACCACCATCATGGCTATCATCTTCACTATCATCGACAATGCCCTCGACATCATCGTCGACACCATATCAGATTCCGCGTCGTCCACGTTCGCGAAATAACCATCATCAGCAGCATCAGCATCACCTTCATCGGCATTATCATCAGCAGCATCGCTGCCGTCGCTATACACATCACAATCAGCAACAACATCCAGGGCATAGCATCAAAGAAATCATAAACCATATCGCCATCGTCATCGACAGCATCATTAGCATCATCACCATCATCAGGCTCATCGTCAGCGTTATCGTCACGTCACATTATGTATTATATAAACGTGACCAGCAACACCATCACCAACAACAACATTATCAGCACTATCATCATCCCCACCACCATCATCATCATCATCATCAGCATCATCATCATCATCATCATCATCATCAGAAGCAGCAGCAGCACCAGCAGCAGCATCATCATCATCAGCATCATCATCATCTTCATCGTCCTCATCGTCCTCATCGTCCTCATACTCATCCTCATCCTCATTCTCATCCTCCTCGGCGTTCTGCCTGCACCCTTCCACCTCCCTCCTCGTCTCCCTAGACCTCCTCCTCCTCCCCCTCCTCCTCCCCCTCCTCCTCCTCCTCCTCCCTGGCCCTCCTCCCTCCCTGGAGGCGCCCTGACCAAACCTCACCCCGCCTCTCCCTCCCCCTCGCCCCCACATCCCCTTCCTCCCCCGGACGCCCCCCCCGCCCACCCCGCCCGC